GGCTACACCAGAAATGGCTTAGCCCCACCATGAAAAATGATGTTAAAGTAAGCAAAATAAAGTCTGCCAACTCGCGTGGAGTAAATTGCACAGACAGCAGTTAGTAAGATTGATTTCAGGAGCCACGGTTTTGAAAACTTTTGTCACGTAGTGATCGTCTTCTCAATAGAACATCTTTGATAACGGCGTGGTGTTGTTGCAGGAAGTCCCGACGGAGAATACTTTTGCTGTAGTACAGGGGTGCACATAACTGGTACGCAGGTTATGTGCGTCATCTCTCTGAAATGCGTACCGTCACTTGTGTCACAAAGCGCATTTGCGTACCGACGTACTTGTGAAGCTTTTCCAGAAGGCGGTTAGATCACCGGACGACAGAGTCGGTCTCCGTGTGCACAGACAGGGCTGCTGTTAACGTCGGTCTGTACAACGGAATTGTGCCAAAACTACGCCAACCGGCTGCGGAGGGAGACTCCCCCCCCCCCCCCTTCACTGGAGAACTGCGCTAAAATAGCTGATCACAACGTTCACACTCTGTGGTCAAGAAGTACTCCACGAGCCGCCGCCCCCCCCCCCCCCCCTCTGTCGACTTTCCTGAAGTACTCCCCCGTTGATAGAAATCAACACTGTAATGAATTAAGACCCCACGGTTTGATGATTGATAGGTGTGTGGGCTGTCTTTCATTTTGACACGCAGAAAAATGTTATAATAAACATAGATACTGTATGTTAAATGGATATATCCGCCTTCTTTCATTTATCTTTCCATTCCCACAACAATATACATAAATAAATGGCATATTTTGGACATAGTTCGAATGGTGATTAATCATGATTAATACATTTTTAAGCTGTGATTAATCTGATTAAAAATTGTAATCGTTTGACAGCCCTAATATATATAAATATATACAATTTCAGAATCAAACAACTATGAGAGCACTCTCATAATAACGTAACACAATCAGAGACTGGATATGGGGAATTGAAATTACGGGCCAAAAGTTGTACAAGTATTAAAAGTAAGCATTCATAGGACACCAAACCAACTGAGACCCATCTGTCCGCCGCATCTACGCACTGTACAACACACACACTGTACCACACACACCTACAGCTCCTAAAGCATAATCAGGCTACAGCCGTTGTGTATTTTATTATGTGAAGCACTAAATGGTCTTAGAAAAATATCGACTCTTTGTTTGTAGATATCTACTAAACTACAGCATACAAATACAGAAAGTAATGTAGGCCTGTTATACTGAGTGATATATATTATACACACTGCTCTGCTTTCTGCACGGACCTCACAGCTGCTCTCACTGTAAACATCGCGTTGCGATGAAAGCAGTTACTAATATAATATCCAAGGGATGCATGCAGAGCTGTCATTGGCTGAGATAAGTCCGGCCGTGCGTCACGCCTCCACCGTTCCCGGAAATGCATCCGTGGAGGAGCCGTGGAGGAACCATCAGTGTATCCTCGGTTAGAGCTCCTCCTCGGTCCTCGAAGTGCATTTAGAGAAATGAGGTGTCCTTCAACATGGCGCGCTGAAATTCATTTCCGGGTCACTACCGGAGGACCGAGGAGTCGAGGAGGGGAAATTTGAGTATTGAGAAACCTCTCAGGTACCTTATACCCCAGGTAGTGACATCATCATCATGTGCTACAGCGCTATCCAATGAACACAGTAGTAGTCACAGCTACTTACATAAACAATATGGTACACAGTATTACATGGAGTCATACAATATACATGTCTCTGTATGTTATACCTCAACACTCCCACTTATGAATTATGTTCTTACTGTATACCTGTTCATATTTAGTTAACAAAGCAAAAACATGGTACAAATGATTTAAATGTGGGCTTCTTTAACACATTTTATACATTAAACATGTTCCCTTCAAATTTCCTCAGCTTCAGTTTTCAGCCATTGCTTTTGCGTTTGTAGCTTCAATAGTTTAGCTTAGGTCCTTGTTAGCGTAGCTTTAGCTTCCCTCGGTTCTCCCAATGCTAAACTAGCTTAACACGTGGCTAACTAGCTACTCCTATGCTAACCGTGCTAACAGACAATCTTCTTGCCTCTCGCACGTGCGCTTCGAACTGTAAAATAATTCATCGTATCTGGGCCCATAACCTGTTAGCAGATTTAGACTTATACCTTGTGTCTCTCTGCAGCAGAAAGGTGAATATTCTCAGCAGTTCAAGTTTAGCCATTCATCACGGCGTTATTTATTAGATGCACACATCTCAAGAGGCTTGAGGACAGAGAGAGAAGGGGCGTGACTTCCAACGGTCTTATACCCCAGGTAGTGACATCATCATCATGTGCTACAGCGCTATCCAATGAACACAGTAGTAGTCGCAGCTACTTACATAAACAATATGGTACACAGTAATACATGGAGTCATACAATACATGTCTCTGTATGTTATACCTCAACACCCCTGCTTTACTTAATGGTATTTGCATGTCTAGCAACCAAGTGGAATTATTTGAATTGTAATGGCGGTTGGCAAACTAGATTATATGTGCATCATCTCCATCTGGCATGTGGACCATTAGAATTCAGGGAATAAAACAACTAAATGCTTTATTATTCATGTTGCTCTTAAGTAATTCATTGTGGAAAGAGAGGAGGGAAACTGAGCCGAGCTGGTCCAAAAGAGACTATGAAGTGTAGCTGAGCCAAGAGGGGATCCAGGGCAGGGAGACAAGGCCGAGCAGAGCAGGCAGAATGAGGAGGGAGAGAGGTGCAGGGCATGTCACCCTCATTATCTCTTATTTACCGATATCATGTCTCTTTATTAAAAGGTCCTTTTGCCAATTTATCAGCTGCCTCATCTCCCTTTGAGCTGGAATTCAACAAAACATTTGATCAGTTACTAATTGCTAAAAAATGAAGCGGACTCACATTGATTTTGATTCAGACATCCTCTGTGCAGCAGCATATCACCTCCTCGAGTAAGACTGATGTAATTCTGCCAAATATACACATAGCTTATTGGATGTTATGTTGACAATTCCTGTAAACGCAGTTATGTACAATACCTTGATCGGGTGTTTTGATCCTAAAATATGTATTTGAACAGTTGCTCTTTATGTTTCGTGGACTGTTTATATCCCTTTGACCATCTCTCCTTTCAATATGTAATTAATCCTAAATAAGTAACGCTATTGATAATATCAGAACTATCAGAACTTTCTGATCCCAAAATGTCTAAACAACATGAATAGGTTATTTCATAGATTACATGTCACTTGTTAGACGCTTTTATCTGGAGCGACTTACATACATTACTGTGGACAATCCCCATGGTGCAATTTGGGTCTTGGACACACCGACATGCTGACTGCAGTGGGACTCCAACTTGCTCTCCCCTGATCCAAAGATGTATATTTATTTAACATTCTTGTTTTAACATGAGCATCAGCTGCGGAACTCCCTTTCTTAATAAAACACTTCAGTTATCATTACACACTTTTCTTCTCTTGAAGATATGAAAGCCTACAGGAAATGGTTCTACCATTTGCACAAGTTGTAAGGTAATGCTGTTATTTTAGCATTTAATTCTCTAGTGTTAAGTATTAGTTAGATTTTCTACTGGTTTAGTGAAAGGGTTGTTGCACTCGTCCACTTTTTTGGCAATCTGTTCATAATCTTAAAAAAGTTAAACACTTTTCCAGTGGTCTGGTAACTTCCCGAACACTGCATAGCATTACTTTTTGTACGTCAATGTTATTCACTGCTCCTCAGATTGTGGCCTCTAAAAAACATATTCTGCTGTCAGACTGTGCTCTCCTGAAAGGATTGACATGTTGTGGATATCTTTGTGTGGTCAAATTCAGGATGTTTGTTTTTCAAATTTGGGAAATATTGATTATATATTGAAATATTGATATGATTATTTGAACAGGCCAGACTTGATGGCCTCTCTCTCTCTCTCTCCTCTCCTTCTCTCGTCGCTCCGTCTCTCTCTCTCTTCTCCTTCTCTCCTCTCTATACTCTCCTCTCTATACTCTCCTCTCTATACTCTCCTCTCTCTCTCTACTCTTCTCCTTCTCTCAGTCTCTCTCTCTCTCTCTCTCTCTCTCTCTCTCTCTCTCTCTCTCTCTCAGTCTAATGCTGACCAGGCACCTGTCCTCTGCTGCACGTCACAGCTCACAATCCTCATTATTAATGCTATTTATAGCCAATAAGCTGTCAGGGGTTAATTTTACTGACAGTGATCATTCTACAGGACCTTCTTCTAACATTATACCAGTGGTTGATGAAGTATTCAGGTCTTTCAGCTTGCAACATTTTGTAAAAGTAGGCCTATAAATAATTACAGGTTTTGTCAGAAAACAAATCAAGTATCAAAGATGAAAATCCTTTAAGATCATTATTATTATTTTTGTTATTCTCTGATTCATTCAGGCATGGATATAAGCAGCTGAAGATGGAATATTTTACTTGACTTAAAATGTTAAAGCAGCAATACCCCTTTAACCAAAACATTTATTTTATACAGAAGTAAGCTATTACGAAATGTAGACCAGCAAAACAAAAGCAGTTATTAAGCAGAAAGGAACTGTTATCATGCTAATATCATATTATTTATTTATGGTAACTGCATGCCATTTTTTACGGATTTGATTATTCGAGAAAACGTTAAATCTATAATTAATCATAAAAATACAAGAATTAGACTATAGATTACTGAATGTGTGAGCGTTGTTACATGTATAATAACAAAAATACTAGGCTCCTTAATAAAAATAACCCTTTTGATTCATCTTTGCATCTTATTAACATTGTTATTAATAGACTTGGACACTGCTCTTGAGGAGTATTTTAACAGCTAAAGTAATTAGGCTCATTGCTAGAAAGGAAACGTCTGGAATCCTCTCATTCTCTGTCTCTGCTGAGTGTGCGCTGAGGAGCCATGCACGTGATGCAGAGGCACTAGCGTCACCGAGAGTGGGTGGATTAATGTGTGGGGGTGAAGTCATTTAAGTCATGTTCCCTTCAGGTCTGTTTGGAAGTAGGCCTACTTTGGACAGTTAAACGCTCGTTTTTGCACGTTTAACGTCGAAAAACGTGCTGTAGTCGCGTGTTATGGCACTGCTGGATTTCCATAAACCCGGAGCTCATTGACAGCTAAGACGGAAACTTTAGTTTATCTGAATGTGTATTGGAGAGTGTGACCGAGTATGTAATTGGTACGAGAATTATCCCAACAAGGGCTCGTGTAACAACATCCATCCATCAGCCCGGGGGAGATCCTCGCAGAGGCAGCGGAGCAGCACAGCCTCTGTTATTAGCCTCGCTGTCCCAGCGAGCTGCGGTGTGAGGGAGCAGGCTTTACAGAGGGTCCTCGGTCCTCACAGTGTCCAGCTCGGCTGAGATAGTAGCAGTTGACCATTAGACACCCGGCTCTCTTTATTTCACATGGGCGAAGACAAAGAGGGGTTCAGCGGACAGACTCGGCACGGAGGAAACAAAGAACCGGGAGAGACCGGAGCCGGAGAGCCTCTGGACCCGGGCAGAGAGGGGAGGTATGCGGAGCTGTTCAGCCAGCTGGACCTCAATAAAGACGGCAGAGTGGACATCAGTGAGCTGAAGACTGGACTGGCTGCTCGGGGGTTACAGCGGGGGGAGGCGGAGGAGGTGAGACATGCTGATGCTAAGACAGAACAGGTATGAGCTGTGATATGTATGAGGTCTGATTAATGCCAAAGACTGAAATAACTGAGCAACCAATCGTGTCGATCGTCGCCTACCATGCCGTGAACTATAGAGTGGCGAAGTCACGCCCATCTACTTCCGGTCCATGGGACCTTATTTCGGAAAAAATAATGTATTGAAGTCAATGGAGAGAGAAAACTTATCTTTCGATCCCGTTAGAATTGTGCCATGAATTACACATATGATGTTTGTCAATCTTAAAAGACAATTTCCATATCAAAAAAGTCACAGTTTGTCGTAAAACTGTTGAAATATAAGACTATGAAAAATACGCAACTAGAAAGACTACAAATCCCAGAGACGCGTAAGTGATGTCACAATTGTTTTCCTCCACTTAGAGATAGATAAGATCAGCTAAGATAAGATAACTTTAACAAGATGCCTGTGTGCTTAGTACCAGGTTGTTATCATACCAGCAATGGGTCTTGCTCGTTCTTTCGCTTCCCGTCTGATGAAAGGACCAGGAGTGGCTGGATCAAGTTAGCTACCTAGCTAGTAGCTAGCACGTTAGTTAGCATTACAGCCATGTCATTTTTATTAGCCTTAATATGAAGTAACATTAAGTAACCCAACATGTTAAACAGTAAGAGTAGTAGTCATATTTCGTGATCCCTTTGAAGAGTACTGTCACCGGTGTGATCATTCTATAATACACAATTTAAGCCCGGGGGAGAAATGCTAACGCTACATTAGCATCGCCGATCTGTTCTACTTCATGCTATCTGCACAAATGGTTGACATTAAACATTAAAAAGATAAGGCAGTTCAGAGAGAATCAAATGAAGGCAGGCAGGCAGCTTTGCATGACATTCTTCTGGACGTGTTTCATTGTAGGTGATAGTGAGGGTAGGCAATCGTTTTGTTGACAAGACAGTAGTGACGGCCATCTTGGTGACGTGTGTTGTTCTGCGAGACCAGAGATGTAGTTCATTGAGCGTTTCACACAAACAAATGTGTTACTTCAGAGTTTTACGACACATTTATTTTTTTTACTTGCAAAATTATCTTTTAAATTGACAAACATCATATGTGTAATTCGTGGCACAATCCAAATGGGATCGAAAGATAATCTTTCTCTCTCCATTGACTTCAATACATCATTTTTCCAAAATAAGGTCCCATGGAGCTCCACCGGAAGGGGAGGGACTTCGCCACTCTATGCCGCGAGAGAAGTAACGGGACACTCTCGTCGCCACCCCTCTCGTCTGAGAAGCTACGTGACGTCTGCGTCTGAAGTTACTTTACTTTGGTAGTTATCACAAAATAACCCAGTAATGTTACAGCTACGTAGTTGCTATTCAAGCTAGAATCTATTTCATTATAGTTTTGGTATTAAAATAATGTTACACCTCTTGTATGCCCTGAACGCCAAAACAACCACAGACAAGAATACATATTTTTAATTATCAAAATGATAACAAAGGCTGAAAAAACAGGAGAAGCCTGTCTTTCCTTGGTCTCCAGGAGAAAACGCCACTGTATATCACCAAGTTCTCATATAGTATTGTTTGTGTGTAAAATAGATTGCTGCAGTGAACACGACTTTATGTATTTGTTATGGTTTATTTGATATGGAGTGATGCAGTATACATAGAAGTTCAGAGAAGAAGCAACCCCTATATATTGTTTATTTTATTTTGTTTCATTTTGGCACCATGGCAGAGGCAAATATAGAGTTAATGTACGGAGATTATAATGTCGCATTTACTAAAATATGTATTGTTTTATGCAGGGGCGGCGGGTACTGTAGGCTAGGGAAGGCTAAGCCTTCCCTAATATTTGTGTCACTGCATCCTGGTCAAATAAAAAATATAATGTATAATGTCTTTGACATATTAGCACTGTGCCCTGTACTACGAAGCCAGTTCCACAGACCCTGGATATGTTTGAGTTATCTTAACTAACCCTAACAAACGAGATCTCGCTAAGCGGTCCTACGACGCTGGTTATCAACTCGGTAAATCAAGCCAGGGTTTCTCTCTCCAGCTGAGAGCGCGTTCACGTGAAAGGGGCGTGGTTAGCTACATTTGACCAATCACAAACAGGGACAAGTATACTGACAGCGCAGCGTCATACTTCATTAAAGAGCCTGTGACAGCATCCCAACAACTGTTGTGCAATGAAATATTGGGCTACTAGTCATCTCGAACCGTCAGTTTAAAAAAGAAAAAGCGATACCGTTCCGTTAAATATCAATAATTTCGATGACTCAGATAAGGAAATATTATGATATTATATGATCGATGATCTGATTGATAATGTGATATGAATGATAAGTGCGACACGTCGGCGTCTTCTCTTCATAGGCTACTGCAGTTTAAACTGTATTTCCTTTATCCTGTAATATGACTTGATATATTTAAACTCCGCACACTGAGCTCTGATTGGTCAGCAGGCGGTGCTTTCACTGAGTTGATCTCTTTTCTATAGACGCCGGAGGCGGGCAGCGTCAGGTAAAAACAGTTATTTAGCCTTCCCAAACCTGAGCCTCATGCGCCGCCTATGGTTTTATGATGTTTAGTTGACAAAATAGTCACTGTGCTAAATTTTCCTGCACTCAAGCATACATCTGAAGACAAGAGTCGTTTCCCCCTTTGGCCACAAGAGGGAGTATATCCAGTGGCGGCTGGTGGAAAATACTTTTGGTGGGGCTATGGAAATGGTGACCAAACCATACTAGGGGGGTCCGGGGGGATCCTCCCCCGGAAGAACATTTTGAGAAATCACCCCTTAAATTATGACTTCTGGTGATGTTAGAGGGGGGGGGGGGGGGGGGGAAGGACAAATTGAGGCTTAAAAATATGAGATAATCCATAATCTTTAGTGTGGTTAGCTATGAATCTTCCAAAACTTCCAAATACCTTGTCCTGGACATAGTTTATATACCTTGCGTGGTGAGCAAACCGTTTAATCAACCTGTACTGTATGTGGCTAGCAGCAGGGCCGGCCCTTGGCACAGGCAGTATAGGCGAATTCTAAAGGTGAATCAATCCATCGGGGGTGCCAAAAAAAAAAAAAAGTTAGAAATTAAAAAAATATTTTTTTGAAATGTCATATATATAGACATCTTTATTGATTGGGATAAACCCCTTGAGATGCAACATCTCGTTTTCAAGGGGGTCCCGACAATAGCAACAACTTACAGATATACATAAACAAAAAGACAAAATGCAAAACATGACACACAAGACAAACCACATACAGTCTGTTAAGTAAAATTCAAGCAATGCATACAATCATTACAATTTGAGACAGTCGAGCAAATCAGTTTCATCAATATCATTAATAACAAGTACAGACCAGTTGAAAGTGAGATAACAATGCATGTTTAAATAAACCCAATTATGCAAGAGATCTAATAGCAGCAGGTAAAGTATTCCAGTCAGTTGGAGCTTTGAAAATGAACGCTCTTCTGCCAATCAATTTTTTGACAACAACACAATTTCCCGATTTTGGATCAACAAAGTACATTTTATTATCTTATACTAACAGAACTACACCTATATTGCGTACAGCGCCCATAAATTATGGCACACCCACGCCCCCAAATCAAGTTGAACTGCCCCAGCCCCAATGAAAATGTGAAATGAAAGATTGTTCTTTTTTTGAAATAATGGTTTTAGTGTGCAATTATAGGTTTTAATGTTGTATTTGTGTTCATTTAAAATAAACAAAACTCCCAAAAAACGTATACAGCTTCTTTGTGCTTTTATTAACATTGGAATTTACTGTGTAAGCGGCCGCGGGGGGGAGAGCTTTAGAGAGCTCTCCCCTGAAAGACTGAGAGGCTCTGATAACCTCAGCTCAGTGAGGTAAAGGCACACCTTTATATGATCATTATAGTTATAAAAAAAATAAGAGAATAGGTGAAAAACAGGTATAAAATACTATATGACAGTACAACAAAGTTGTTATTAAGAGGGGCCCGGTCCGAAAAGGCTCCGAGGGGGCCTCCACACGCTGCATCTCACACCGGCTCTCATCCTGTCTCTGTTTAGGAGAAGGCTCGTAAACTGGACATTGAGGCGCGTTCACGCTCAACCCTGCTGAGGAATGAGCGGAGGTGTGTGCAGTGCTATTTACACAGTGCGTAATAACAGCCCTAGGCTCATTACGACCGTGTGTAGTAGGCACATCTGGGACAGAGGAAACCGACTAACCGACAGGTTAGGAGCATCAGGTTTAAACGTCAAGCCCTGCTGTCTAATAACCGCCTGGTTAAATACAGCTGGCTTGTGCCGCGAGCCCTGCTGCCTGCTGACTGACAGGTTACAGCCGGCTCAAACGGGGATCCCCGCTGTCTGTTAACCAACAGGTTAACCACAGCTGCTTATGCATGCCGTTTCGGAGAAGGCTCGTAAACCGGACAATGAGGCGCGTTCACGCTCAAACCCGCTTGAGGAATGAACGGTGTGTGGAGGCATATCTGTGACATAGGAAACAAGCCCGTGCTGTCTAATCAACCGACAGGTTTTAAAGACAGCCGGTTTGTGCCGCGAGCCCTGCTGCCTAATAGCCAACAGGCTATGAGGCAGCCGCTTATGTCATCCGGAGGAGAGTTCTCCTGGACCGGGGGAACGGGGAGATCTCATTAGGCGGCTGCCTTTCCGATGATCTCCGGGAGTTCCAGGAGAATACCGCCTATACGGCAGAGCCGAGATGGCGGATAGAGGGACCCGGTGACCCGGGAGCCGGTGTCAGCTCGGCAGCTGAGTCACCCCCGTCCGGAAGAGAGGGAGGATGGGGCCGGGGGAACCACATGGTGATCCGTGAATGGAAGGGAAGGAGTCGCCTGACTGCTGCCCGCCACTCAGATCCAATAAATAATTGGTCCGCTCTCCGCATGTCTGTGTGCCAGAGGGAGACGGACACAATGAGTGCACGACACCTGGGGAGTGAGAGCCGCGTTTGCGTGCTCCAATCCCCGGCAGGACTCACCTGTATCGTCTGTGTAAAGCCGCTTCCTCCCTGGAGCAAGCCAGCCACAGCCGGTCGTAACTCATATGTCGGGCTGACACCGGGCCCCACCCTGTCTCCCCCGCCCGGAGGAGAGGGAGGATGGGGCCGGGGGAACCCCATGGTGATCCGTGAATGGAGGGGAAGGAGTCGCCTGACTGCTGCCTGCCACTCGGATCCAATAAATAATTGGTCCGCTCTCCACTGTCTGTGGGCCAGAGGGAGACGGACACAATGAGTGCACGACACCTGGGGAGTGAGAGCCGCGTTTGCGTGCTCCAATCCCCGGCAGGACTCACACCGTGAGCTCCGGTCGTAACTCATATGTTGGGTTGACACCGGGCCCCCGTCCTGTCTCAGGCTTGATCGCCGTTCAAATAACAGCGTTGGATTCCCCCAAAAGTGGGCGGGGCCGTAAAGTGACGTTACTCTCATCCATGGACATCGATCGCCTACTGCTATATTTAACCATATATCGAGCCCGATCGTCAATTTCCAATGATTTAATGTAATTGTTTGCCTGTCTGGCCATTGTAATCGGGCTCTTTGAAGATCCAAAAATCCACGGTTTTCTTAAATTTCGGATCGGATTGGCAAAAACTTCAGAATTTGTATTGACCGGCATTCAAATGACAGCTTTGTTTTCCCCAAAAAGTGGGCGGAGCCATACTTTTTGCCCAGAAGTGACGCATGTGTGTACAGAGCATGACATTTAAAAAGTGGATTCACTAAGTAACTTTATTTTGTACGCCTTTAATATCAGAACAAATCTATTCACATGTGCCCTGATCCTTTTCCTTCATTTTTAGTGTTAAATCACTAACTAACTTTACAAAAAAAAAGATCGAGAGATCAAGGGTTATAGCAATATATAATCTGAAAAATACTAAGATCACTCGATGTGTAAACTTACTGATGTCATGTTGCAACTAGTCCAACTCTCTCCCTCTCTGTGTCCTCATCCAGAGATGTTGGCAGACAGGTAAGATGTGTTTACTTCTGGAACCTCACAGGGAGCATAGCCCTCTGACCCCCTCACTCTCTGTACCCCCCTGACCCCTGTCACTTCAGTGCTGTCTACATTACCAACACACCCTCACCTGTACACCCCCGCCATCTCCACCTGCCCCATTATATATGGAGCACCTGTCTGTAGCTAGCTATTGAATGACATCACCCCCCCCCCCCCAACAGATAGTCCTGGAGAGCGACATCAACCGCGATGGTTTACTGGACTTCCACGAGTTCTCCCAGTACCTGTGGGTTCACGAGATGAGGCTGTGGCTCCTCTTCAACAGCCTGGACCGCAACAAGGATGGTGTGGGCAAGCTACACACACACACACACACACACACACACACACACACACACACACACACACACACACACACACACACACACACACACACACACACACACACACACACACACACACACACACACACACACACACACACACACACACACACACACACACACACACACACACACACACACACACACACATACACACACACACACACACACACACACACACACGCCAATCTGGCCCCTTGCTTGTTTGGGTGTGGCCCTTATATCAGTATAGGCTCTTAATACATTTGTATATATTGCATTAAAGATGTCTGCTAGCTAGAAACAGGTGTCTGTGTTACTAAAAGGCATACCAACACTGATGCATCATGTTTAGGTCTGTGAAATCCCATGTAAGATTTAACTGCAGAGCTTATTTTGTACTTTTTAGGGTTTTTTGTTGATATGATTGCATGCCAAGAAAACCATCATTGACTTTTTATAATCAGACTTGTGAAACCTGTTGGTTTTAGTCGGCTGTATGTTAGCCAACTTGTAAAAAATGTAATCGAAATTCAAGTTATTTGTTTTTGTTTAGCTAAATGCTATGATAGCGAAGCAACTTTTCTTGTTGACTATTTTAGTTTTTTTGTTGCACAAAATGTTATTTATTTTCAATATAAAGAAATGTATATAAATATACTATATATAATTGGCCTTTTTATGTGATTATGATATCTCAGTGTGGCCTTTAGTGGAATTGAGTTTGACACACCTGGGGGGTATACTACGAAGCAGGATTTTCGCTTAGCCGGCTAAATTCAGGGAAAACTCCGGCTTTCCGGTCCTACGAAGCTGGTTCTCTTTTTAGCAGGCTAGATCTCCATGGTAACTTATGCTTAGCGGCTAACCTGGTCGGGACCAGGTTAGGTTGCAGGCTAAGAGCTCAACTCAGTGAAAGCACTGCCTGCTGACCAATCAGAGCTCAGTGTGCGGAGTTTAAAGCGATCAAGTCATATTACAGGAGAAAGGAAATACAGAAAAGCTGCCGTCGCAGGAAAGACGGCCGGCAAAAATCACCGACTGTGTGAACGTGAACATTAATAGAATATCACCTCCATCTTCAGAGCAATCTGACTATTATAACATTAGCGTTAAGAAAGCTTACTGAAATATCTGCCACAACATAAGTAACCGGATCAGAGTAACATTAAGTACAGTCCGCGGCATATCACTTCATAATCAACCCTGTCTCCTAAAAATTACGTTCCCACAGAACTAAACTGCATTCTCAATTACGTTTAGCTAGAAACATATCTTCTCCCACGTTACGTTCGTTATGAACGTATCTTAAATACGTTTATTTTCTACATATCTTCTAGAAACGTATTTACTCCCACGTTACGTTCGTTATGAACGTATCTTAAATACGTTTATTTTCTACATATCTTCTAGAAACGTATTTTCTCCCACATTACGTTCGTTATGAACGTATCTTAAATACGTTTATGTTCTACATATCTTTGCCATTTATTGCCTTGCTTATAATAATGATAATAGTCATTTATAAATATCATTTTAGAGCACACATTTGAAATCGAGAATCGGGCTCGATATATGGTTAAATTAAAATCAGTAGGCGAGGCTGTAATTTCGGCAGCTGTTACTCTCATGAGCGAGGCAGAAAATAATAGTTTTAACATGACAAAAAGCTGCTGTGTCGTTTATTGCACCTCAAAGATTAAAACAAATCCAGAGTTACTTGTTTCTGTACTTCCTCTAAGAAGAAAGGACAGTAAAAGAAGAGCTCTGTGGCTTCAGGCTTGATCGCCGTTCAAATGACAGCGTTGGTTTCCCCAAAAGTGGGCGGGGCTGTAAAGTGACGTTTTACTATCATCTATTATTCAAAACCATTCTATTTATTCTAACGTAAATTACATGCCAGTGTTTTATCTTTTTATTTATTTGTTTTTATTTTAAATCGTATAATGTCGGACTTTTTTCCCGTCCTCATGTTTGTCTAGAAGTCTTCTCATCAGGGCTCTATAAATAAAGAACTACAGCAGATGTATAATATTTAATGCAGCCGAACCGTGTATTATAATGCCGTTATGTGATGACTTCCAAAGAGAAAAGCAAGAACACTCTGAATTAGGTATTATTTTATTTTTCGTTTTCGGATATCACAACTTATTAACACCATATCCCAGCGTTTATTGCGGCTAAAACATCCAATCAACGAGCTTCAAGCTGAGGATCTTGGGTAATCAGTTCGGTGGGTTTGTGGTGTGTATCGCTCGAAATGTCCCGTCTGTTTCCGGTGACTTTATTTACGGCTAAAAAGCCCAAGATTATAGAATTAAACAAATAAATAAAAACAAGGATAATTGTGTGTTATTGTTGAGTAAATAACAGTGTGTTATTTAGAAAAGAATAACAAATTAGAAGGAAAAGATTTTTAAAAAATACAGATTTCAGTATTTTGTGGCTCTAAACCCCATTTATTTTCCTCACAGACGTTTATACGATTTAAAATAAAAACAAATAAATAAAAAGATAAAACACTGGCATGTAATTTACGTTAGAATACATAGAATGGTTTTGAATAATAGATGATAGTAAAATCTACGTCACTTTACAGCCCCGCCCACTTTTGGGGAAACCAACGCTGTCATTTGAACGGCGATCAAGCCTGAAGCCACAGAGCTCTTCTTTTACTGTCTTTTCTTCTTAGAGGAAGTACAGAAACACGTAACTCTGGATTTGTTTTAATGTTTGAGGTAAACGACACAGCTGCTTTTTGTCATGTTAAAACTATTATTTTCTGCCTCGCTCATGAGAGTAACAGCTGCCGAAATTACAGCCTCGCCTACTGATTTTAATTTAACCATATATCGAGCCTGATTCTCGATTTCAAAGGTGTGCTCTAAAATGATATTTATAAATGACTATTATCATTATTATAAGCAAGACAATAAATGGCAAAGATATGTAGAAAATAAACGTATTTTAGATACGTTCATAAGGAACGTAACGTGGGAGAAAATATGTTTCTAGAAGATATGTAGAAAATAAACGTATTTTAGATACGTTCATAACGAACGTAACGTGGGAGTAAATACGTTTCAAGCTAAACGTAATTCAGAATGCAGTTTAGTTCTGTGGGAACGTATTTTTTAGGAGACAGGGTTGTCATAATGTATCATATCTCCTTATCTGAGTCAGCTGAGCCGTATCTGGCCGTGCAACACTCACAGTGTCACATAGGCCTACTGTATGCAGAAGTATTATTTTAAGCAACACATTAAGTTGACGAAACACTCGAGACAAATGTAATTAAAGTCAAATCGTGTTTTAGACGGGGCAGTGATATCATAAACCTGTTAATGTACGCATTCAAACACTTGTTCTTTTACCAGCTGTATTCACCTTGCAGGTGCAGCTATGTGGCTTTGATCCTGGATAAAGTGTTTAAGTCATGGATGTTTAAAGTTTAACTTCTTCATTTTTGACTAGTATTAAAGTTCACTTTTCAGGAAGTATGACGCTGCGCTGTCAGTATGCTTCTCCATGTTTGTGATTGGTCGAATGCTCCAGATACCACCCCTTTCATGTGAACGCGCACCTAACTAGATAGGAAACGGCTGGCTTGAGCGATCCACTTGATAACCAGCGTCGTAGTACCGTTTAGCGAGAGGGCGTATGTTTTGGATTAGGCCAACCGGCTAACTCAAACATATCCAGGTTAGGTTGAACCAGCTTCGTAGTACAGGCCTCTGATCTAACTTCTGGTGAATTTTGGAGAAATCTACAGACGTTCTGTTCTAAGGTCGAATCGATGTGGGGGAGATCCAGCACTCACTGCACAGGCTGGGTGTGGAGGTCAGCATGGAGCAGGCCTCCAGGATACTGCAGAGGTACACAGTGAGAAAGAAACAAGTTCATATTAGAGCCATCTTAAACCGCTCAAAAATCACCCATAACTTTCTGTCTTATCTTTAATAATGATGTTTGATGTGTTCTATACATAGACTGTATATGTAAAGGTCCTCTAAAGAAAATGTCACATTATTTCTGTGTGTGGTTAATAAAAACCTGGTAAAACACAAAGGTGCTCAATATCTGAGATCGTTGACATGGTTTCTCCTGATTAGACACTGCATTCAACTGTGTGTGTGTGTGTGTGTGTGTGTGTGTGTGTGTGTGTGTGTGTGTGTGTGTGTGTGTGTGTGTATGTGTGTGTGTGTGTGTGTGCGTGCGTGCGTGCGTGCGTGCGTGCGTGCGTGTGTGTGTGTGTGTACAGGCTGTGCAGGGTTGACATCTGTTTGACCCAAAAATAAAAACATTGTCAGGGTTCAAACTGACAAGTCGGGTTTATATTGCAAATGAAATGATAGCAGTGGGAATGAGGAAAATAAGAGTATCTAGTACCTTGTAATCTGAGGGGTTGCATGTTTCTGTTTGAGGAGCAGAATAATGATTTTGTGAGTGTTCTGCTGATGGCCCTGTATGAGTTCTAACTCTCCGGTCTTACTCTGTCTCTCCCACACAGTATGGACAGGGACGGCACCATGACTATTAACTGGAATGAATGGCGAGATCACTTCCTGTTCAACCCTTTCCACAACATGGAGGAGATTGTCCACTACTGGAAACACTCCCATGTGAGTGACGAGCTTTCAGTAATGATGCACTTCATAATCATGTCCGGCAGTGGCTCAGTCAGTAGAGTCTTGGACTGATAGCCGTAGGGTCGCCGGTTCAAATCCCCGACCAGACATAAATATGTAGTGTGGACTGCTACTTGGAGAGGTCCCAGTTATTTTTCCTCGGTTAGTTAGTTATGTGACGTGGGGGACTTCTTATTTCACCAAATTAACCCAAAGACTTAAAAAAAGTAACAGATTGAGGCAGCTGCCAGTTAACCTCTGTGTTCCATAAGGTAAAAATAAAAACTGTTTGCATTGCTAGAGGCTTTAAAGACAGAATAGATGGATATAGTGTCTTCAGTGCCCCGTCTAAAAAAGGGCCGTCGTATGGCAAGGTAAAGCAGTTAATACAATCTAAATATAGCATACCCTTCAATTAAAATAAGATAACCCCAAAATATCCCTTTGAGGATACCCCCCTCCTGGAAATAAATACAGATGGGCCCTTTATTAATTATAGATGTATGACATCGGGGAACATCTGACAGTACCGGATGAGTTCTCGGAGAAGGAGCGGCGGTCCGGTCTGGTGTGGAGGCAGTTGGTTGCCGGGGCGATGGCGGGGGCGGTGTCCCGGACAGGAACCGCTCCTCTGGACCGCCTGAAGGTCTACCTGCAGGTAAAGACCAGGGTTTAGGAACTGTTGCGCATTGTGTGAGCAATGTATTTGATCAGAAAATAGCAATAGGAAAATCCTTTAACTGACAAGAAGTATAAAATAAACAATTGTTTGTATTCTACATCTCTTGCATGGTTTAGTTTATTCTATGAGATTTTAATGATAGATTCCAAGATTAGCACCTTTTAGTTAATTGATACTTCAGAGACCTGAAGCTGCATTTCATCACAATGAGAATATATATGTATTATTCATTTAGGAGGAAACAGTTGGACACCAATATTTTGTATTCCTGTGGAAACTGACACAGCGAGCAAGATGTCAGATACTAAATGTTAGTGAAAGCAATGTTGTTGAAACTTCCACCAAGCTCACTCTATCCAACAGCACTGGGGGGTTGGATGTACGCACCGTTAAGGTTAAGGTTAGTTTATTTATTCCGGTTATGGCGCGGTGTTGATCAGACATAGTTCAGTCGCTCTGCCCTAATATCGTAAATTAACTATTTAGAACGCGGGAGGTAAAAGGAAAACGCAATTTACACAATCATAACGGTGTTACTAATCACGCAAGAAAACAACTAGAAAGGACAACGTTTTGGAAACTTAATCCGAAGAAGATTGGCCACCGCTGTCTCAACCTGGCCTTACTCCCGACATGGAACACGAGGAGGGAGAAGAGCTGTCGCAGGATAAATCCTCAGGTGAAATTCCGAGTGCAATCAACAATTTAAAGAAAGACCTGAAGGAAGACTTTGTATCAAAATGTAATACGGTGATACACTCAATACAATCTATCGAAAGCAAACTAAAACAATACTCTGACCGATTACCGGAGGCTGAGGAGCGGCTTGGAGCGGTGGAAGACGATGCCTCAGTGCTGAATAAAACAACAAAACAGCTGAGACAACAGGTGGAAAGTTTGGAGGCGAAAATGGAAGATCTGGAAAATCGTAGCCGATGATCTAATGTGCGACCGATAGGCTTGCCCGAAAACGCTGAAAGGAAGGATGCATGCACCTTTCTGGAAAAATGGATCCCTGAAATTCTGGGTGCCGGATCGTTTGCAGCACCGCTCGCTATTGAAAGGGCGCACAGAGTTCCATCTGGCAGACCGAAGCCAAACGCACCGCCTCGAGCACTTCTGATTAAGTTCTTAAACTACAAGGACAAAACCAAAGTGATGTCGGCTGCATATGAAAAGGGTAAAATCCACTTTGACAAACATCATATAATGTTTTCCCATGACGTCGCCAAGGAGACGGATAAAAAGCGTAGAGCCTACGATGGAGTTAAAACGAGGTGCAGAGACATGGGTCTGCGGTATGGAATACAATATCCATCCTCTTTCCGAGTGACACATGACGGCAACTCTCGCCTCTTCACTTCTCCTACGGATGTACACACGTTCCTGGAAAAGATCCAGCAGAGGCCCAGAGATTGAACAGTTCTGTGGAAGCACCTGGTGAGATTACCATAAAGAATGGCCTGCAGTATATTACTTGTTACTGTAAAAGGACAACATCTGCTATATATACACTGTCAAAGTAAAGTTTTGTCTTTGCAGTATTTAGTGTGAAGTAAAAACTTCTTTGCAGCAATGTTGAGCCAATCATGAAATGAGGGAAACTGGATTCGCCTGTCAATACACTGATATTTATTGAGAGACAAACGGCCGGAGGATTAACAAAGCAACTCGCACTGTTCAATGCAAGCTGCCAAAATTAACTCTGCCCACACAAAGACGGAAGCGCTCGAACCTGGTCTCTGAGAAGGGGCGGAGCCCAGAAACGCGGGCCTTTACCCCAATCGATTACAGATGAACAGACAAAGAAACTCTGTCTGAGCGGGCAGTAAACCCTTCCCCCCACACAGAGAAAGAGTAGTCACTCATGTGAAGTTTCTCAGGTCAGCTAAGCATCAGACTAAAATATTCCTTTACATTTAGCAGTAATAATGTTTATGTAGGCTATACACTGGTATATCTGTTTACATTTATTGTATTACGCTGTTTAAGAAGTGTGTTTTATGTTATTGATACTGTTAAGAATAAGTGCTGTCCTTGAACGGTTAAATCTAAGTTATGCCTTTACACTCCCAAATTCACATTTTATATAATTTTCATTAGATATAAAACAAATTCATAATCCACATTTTAGATCCTAACAATGGCAGCTAAACGTGGTGTTCACTTATGAATACATTTTATTTTAAGAGCTTTAAACTTGCTGCCTAGTGAATGAAAACATCGACAAGTTAAAGTGAAATATTTTATAGAAGTGTTTTGTTTTATTCATTCCCTTTGTTAACATTTCTATAATTTGTATGGGAATTACAGAACTAGAAAATGTATTTCCTGCAGAAAATGCGTGCGAATGCTGTAAACTGTGAACATTTATGGCTGAATTTAGCTGAAAATGCAGAAAAAGCTTAATATTTCAAAGAAAAGGTTTAAAAAAAGGTATAAACAACAACATGTATAGCCTTGATGTCCTGAAATAGCTGAATAATGTAATAGTTGAATGGGTTCTGCAGCTGAAAATAGGCTGAAGGAGTTAAATATCAGATGTAAGTAGTAGTGAATTAATTTGTATTAAGATGAGAAAAGAAAGTAAAAAGGCTTGGGAAAGCAGCAGAATATTTGAACTGTAAACGTTTGAACTAACTTGATGGTGAATTATCTGTCGCCAT